CACACACACACACACACACACACACACACACACACACACCCTCAGCTCTATGATTAACACTAAAGTGAAAAACAAATTGGTTTAGAAAGATCCATCAGTTAAACTGTGTCCTGTAACTCCAGAAATGAATAAAGGGAATTTTTAAAAATTAAATAGCATTTGTATTTCTAATACCACCACCAGTTTACCTACACGTGAAACATGCTTCTGTACAACAATGTAAACTTCACAGCAAGCCATTTTTACATTCATTAGAGCAGAATTTTCCATTGTCTTTAAATTACAACGTAATTTTGGGCTGAGACTGCTGAACACACAGGTAAGCCAACAATAACAGTACAATTTAGTTTCACAGTGGTTTTCTTAACATAAAGTTCATTTTAAGTGTCTTTGCAAAGCATTTCACATTAAACTTAAGTTTCTAAGTGACTTCCTGTAGAGCCTTGTTCAGATATTTTCCACCCTCTTGTCTTTATATGCTTGGCATGTGTGTTGTTTGATTGGGATACAAAATGGGAGACTGGCTTGTTTTATCTGTGTTTTGAGTCCTCTGTTGTAGAAAGAAAATGTCCTTCATGAGATGTCGAAGCCTTCACTGCACACACAAAATCTGGGGCAAGTCCAGGTCCAGGAGCCTGAGCAGCCCACCACCAAACAGAGACAAAGACATTGCCGGAAAGTCACCTTTGCAAAAAGAAAGGAAAAAAATAGAGAGGGGTGGGGGCAGGGGAGGGGCCTATCCCATGGAATGAAAACACAAATGCACCAGAGTCCATATTTACAAACTAATAGAAAGTATAAACATTATTGTATTTGGAACCAAGTCAAAACACCAGGAGGAGCTAAATTCAGATATTGCTTAAGTTATACATATATTTTCCAACAAAATATGCCATCTGTTAAAAATAAACAACGGATCACTCAAGTCAATTATTGATTGGTTTCCTAATGATGAATTAAGGATTATTTTGTTACCTTATTTGATTAGAGGGTGTAGCATAACTTTTTCTATACCTATTTTATTGATTTTGCAAAATCTCAACAATTGCACGTTTCAGAAGTTCAGGTTGATTTAGAATAAATATACACATGTGGTTTTACCAAAGACTAGTTTTAAAAGTTCCTTAAGCCCTTTGAGGGGTGCAGGTTTCTTCACTATGTTAAAACAGTGTGTGGCCAACACAAACGTCTCGTTCAGTCCTTAACATTGCTTTTGTTTTTAACTCCTACAGTCATGTCAGGTGTTCTGTGAGAGAGAAGTTATGGTAAGAGATATTTAAGTGTCATCAGCACAGAGGATGTGAGTCCGTAAAGCCAGCTTTCGAGGCAGGAGGGTCGGAGGGCAGAGGGGTGGGATCCGAGACCAGGGAAGAAGGGGAGGGTGTGCTGGGGGAGGGGGGGCGGGACTCGGGTGAAGCTGCGGCAGACGGAATCTCCCATCAGAGTGCGGAAGCCGTGACAGAGTGGCTACCTTCTCGGGCTGCCTGCATTCCCTTGAACGCCAGCGACGCGGGAATGTCACAGTTGTGGGGGGAAAGTGGGGTGCCACTGGCATGTTGCCACCCGTGTCCAGCAACATAACCAGAAGGAGCAGCGCTGTAGGTCATGTAAGGCGACACTTGGGCTGGGGTAGGATAAGGAGCCATGCTGGATGCTGACACAAAACTGCTTACAGCTGGGAGACCATTTGGTGCCTAAGAGGAGTAGGAAAAGAGAAGAGGTGAAAATAATCACATTAGAGCGGTTGACATTTCACGAGTTCTTAGAAAGAAGCAGAATGTCAGTTCTGAGTAGTAACAATATTCTGACCCTACTTTCTGATTTTTTGTTGTTGTTGTTTAGACTTGACTCTTTTTATATTCTAAATGCATTCACAGTCTTGCTACTTAAACATATTCTTTCCACAAAGATTTTGAGGAGGCTACAACCAGAAAATTCACAGTATTTGCTCTTGCTACTTGGAATTACAGGAAGGAAATGCAGGGTGAGAAAAGAATTAATTGTGATTAAGTACTCTTAGAATCCATTCAGCTCTCTATCTGCCTTTGTCAACCCTCCCCATACTTCAGTTTTGTTTGACTCTTTTGTTGAGGCATTTGTGAAGGGCCTGGTTGGTATAGCTTTCATTTCCATTAAAGAAGGGCAGAGTATGGGCTGTCACTTTAGAAACTCAAAATGAGCATGACCTTTGTTAAATAAAACGTGGGCCATATTTTAAAACCATGTTGAAAATGCTTGTTGGACGAAGGGCATGCAAAATCAGGCAGTTTGTCTAGAAGGGTTCTTTAATGACAATTGGGAGTATATTTTCCAAAGCTATTTTATCAAAAAGGAAACTGTCAGAATATAAAAGAATCGCATATGCATGGTTTTGAAATTGGAAAATTTGCTTGCTAAGTTTTAGGGCCCTGTGATCTGAATTGTTAGAAGCCACATGGATAAATCTCTTGAAATGAATTTAAATGTAAAATGTTAGTTTGCAAACAAAATGCAGCAACGCTGGCAGGCAAGTCTGCCTAGAAGCCAGTGTTCTCTTGGCAACCAATAAATTATTGTTGGTATCGTTACTATTAACAACACCAAAAACACCCTGATTTCTAATCCTCATTCTGGCATGAATACTCGGCATCCTTCTTCAACTAACTTCATTTTTCCCCCTGAATTTCTACATTGTTGGGGCTTCCCTGGTGACGCAGTGGTTAAGAATCTGCCTGCCAATGCAGGGGACACAGGTTTGAGCCCTGGTCCGGGAAGATCCCACACCCGGCAAAGCAACTAAGCCCATGCGCCACAACTACTGAGCCTGCGCTATAGAGCCCGTGGGCCACAACTACTGAGCCCGCGTGCCACAACTACTGAAGCCCACGTGCCTAGAGTCCATGCTCCGCAACAAGAGAAGCCGCCTCAAGGAGAAGCCCGCGCACCACAAGGAAGAGTAGCCCCCCGCTCGCTGCAAGTAGAGAAAGCCCGCACAGCAGCGAAGGCCCAATGCAGCCAAAAATTAATTAATTAAATTTTTAAAAACATTTCTACATTGTTTAGAAATAAAGAAAATCCTGTTTCCTGGTAGTGATGTGAATAAACAAACATATCACCATATTTCCTAATGAAACTATATGTAAGTAATAGAAATATTATTCATAAAACCAATTTAAGCCTTAGAGGTAAGAAAAGCGGACATATGTTGGATACTTTTTCCAATTCAATTGCAACACAGAAATTGTTTTCTAATTTAATTCATTTGGTTATTATTTTCACTTCCACATCTGTGAGAATGCAACAGTGGGGTCTCAAAAATGATTTTCTCAATTTAGAGTAATGCATGGAGTAGAATATATACATGAATGTGATTTAACACTACTTGTGGATTTCTGACAAAATAAGAATAAAAGTAGAGGAGTTAGCTTTGCATAGTTCTATAAGAAGACACACCTTATGTTCTTTTTGTCAGAGTGCTTGTTCTTTGAAAAATGGGGAAGAGGAAAGGAAACTGAGGTTTCCTGAATCTGTCCTATGTCCCAAGCACTAAGAAGTATCCAACATATTTTATCGAATAATTGGAACTGACAAATTGTATCTCATTTTAACCTATTGAGTTTATAATTACAAGATAATTTATAATGAGTACAATGCGATGTTCAATTGAAATTAAAATGTGTTACAAAGGATGATGCTCTGTTTTTTAACAAAGAAGCCATTGCACATCAATGTTGAATACAAATGAAATATTATCCTCTTTTTATACAAAAGAATATAGATTAAGGAGTTTAGCCATTTACCCTATAGGCCAATCAGCAAGTCCATGGCCATGTGTTAAAAGAAATTATCATCCCTGTCTGCTGCAGGACCCTCTGTAGCAAATCATGCTACTCTTCCAGACAATTAAAAGATAGATACAATTTAATTTCAAACTAGAGCATCTTTCCTGGTAAAAGATTCTTTCCTCTTCTAGAACCTGATTCTCATTCTTAGATCCTAATTCTGTTTCTTAACTTCTAAAAGAAACTCTTTTTCCTTCTTTCTGAAAATGGCTCATTAGAAAATGGCTCAAAAAAGCTACACTTTGAGGCTCTCAACAGATGAGTATGAAGATAGACAACTGTCAAATTGCAGAAGAAATTTAGCATTGCATAGAGATTTTATTTCTGATCATTATTATCTAGAATTTTCCCAATAACCTAAGAGAAATTAGTTTGGAAAGGGATTGTTCCACTTCAGTTATGGAAAGGTGTTTGCATCTATATTTGGCCTCTTCCATTCTAGCATTAATTAATATTTTATACTATTTGTGCCAATGTGCACCAAGAATCATAAAATAAGAAGGTTAAGGTTGAAATTACTTTTAAAATAATGAAAACCTTTGCTCAACACTTTCCAAGTACATAGGTTAGATTATTTACTATAATACAGAAACAGCATATTGTTTAGTAATACATTAGCAGAAAAAAATGTATTGGTGAGTTCTAAGTTTTTCCTACTCATTCTGTTTTCTTTATATTTTTTCTATCATTCAACATTACATTTCTCTCTGAAATACTTGCTTTGTTATTGTCCCTTTCCCTTCCT